TAAAATGATTTTTTAACAAGAGTGCTGAGGTAATTCTTTTCAATAAATAATGCTGGGATATCTGTGTTACGGAAGGAAGTTGGACCCTTATCTAACATCATATACAGAAATTAACTCAAAATGGAATAAAGATCTAAATGTAAGAATTAAAACTATAAAAGTCTTAGAAGAAAACAGAGGAAAAACTCTATGACATTGGATTTGGCAATGATTTCTTTCCACAGAAGGGGAAACAGATATTTAGAAAATAAATAAAAGGCATGGGAAATAAAAGAAAAATAGACACATTGGACTTCATAAAAATTGAAAACCTCTGTATATCAGAGGACACTACAACAGAATAAAAAGGCACCTCACAGAATGGGAAAAGTATTTGCAAACTACATATCTGACAAGGGTTTGACAGGACACAGAGGAATTCTTAACAACAAAGCCCAACCAAACTCAGTTGAAAAATGAGCAAACAAGTTGTACAAACATCTCTCAGCTATTATTTAATGACAGAATTTCAGTTTTGTAAGATGAAGAGTGGATATTAGCTGCAGAACAAAGTGAATGTTCTCAACGTTACTGACTTGTAACTTAAAATAGTTAAGATGGTAAATTTTGTTATGTGTATTGTACAATTGAAAATTTTTGAAATGATTAAAAAAGAGGTAGTCAAGTAAAATAAACATAAAAACCAGATTCTTACATCATTGTAGCATTTGTTAAAAATTTTCACAACCTAACATAGCATTATAAATCACATCACTCTTGAAAAATATTTTATGTAGTTAATAAAAAATTATACCTAAAATAAAAAATATGAAAGAAGATACATGAAAAATACTTAGTCTAAACTATTTTGAAAGTGAAGTATGGAAAAACTAAAGGAAATTTTTCTAAATATGTTGTAAAGAAGTATAAGGAGACTAACAAACCATGTAAGGCTAACAGATAACCAAGAGAAGAAATACTCAACTCTTATTTTCCTTCTATATCTCCTCTCAAGAATAATGCACCTTTAACTGTTTAGAACAAAGAAAGAAGAAACTGTTGCACATTACAGGGGAAAGGATGATAAATTATTTCCAGGCTCTAGACCAAGAATAAAAACACATTAGTCAAAAGCTTGTCACTGTAATTAAGGTACTACTGGCAGTTTTTGAGGAAACAGTAAGGAATATAAAAGTGGTAGCTACAGAAATGCTACCTTACTTTTCACAAAGAAGAGAAAACACAAATGTTTAGAAATTAAATTCTGTAGCTTCCCAGGGAAAACATTTTCTAGCCCTACATAGACAAACATTTTTAAAACCTTCAGAGGAAAAGCATTTTTTTTAAAAAAAGCCAATTACAATTATTCACTTCTAATAATTACATTGCATGCTCAAGGTATATTTTAACTTGATTTCAACAAAGTATTTTAG